AAAGGTGGGGTACTGGGTGTAGTGGCTGAAGGGGCTGGGCACTAGTGGACAAAACAGAGTCCTGAATGATGCAGAATCCTCGCAAATAGCAAGGACCTGCCTGTCCAGTCCATAGCCAGCAAGGCTGTCAAATCAATGCTGCAGAATAGAGCACAGCCTGACTACACCTGCTTGGTGTTCAGGCCAGTCTCCAAGAAACAGTGGAATTCCAGTATTTTTTTGACACCAACTCAGCTACAAAATTTGCAGACTCCTAACCTGACGTCAAATGCCTCGGGTTGTGCATTCTCCACATGAAGCAAGACTGGTTACCCATGGTGCACCCTGGACACAGACCCTGCTGTCGGCTCCCTAAAACACTTCCCTGGGACAGGGAACAGGTCTTCTAGAGTAGCCTGTGGTAACAGAAGGGTGAGTATTGTTAAGAATAGTTGATGACTCTGAATATATATTTTTTGGTAGCTTTTCTTCTGGTGGAACAGGTGCTGTTGCCATACTGCTTCTCTTCATGTCCATTAAAGCATGATGCGCTAAAAAACAGGTTGTGGTTTGTGCAGGTGACTAAGGAAACAGCTTACCTGGGTTAAACACGTGATTTATAGGTTTTATAAATAACTGTGGCACTCATCCTGGAGTAATTACCCAGTCAATTAGAAATAAAGGGCTATGGTAAGCAGGCAATTTATTGAAATCAGATTTTTTTTCTCTCCTGTTACCTGAAACATGTAGCTGTCCTTGGAAGCACTGTCCAACAGCTGATAACTTTAGCTCAGGTTAGTCCTGTTGCACTGGGATAATGAGCAATTAACTGGATTGGAATCTAGTCTTCTGAAGCACAAGCTTACATTGCATCCTGACTTGGAGCCCACGAACCTTTGCAGACTTCTCCTAGGAGGGTTGCAGGGAGTTTCATATATAGAGTGTGACAGCGAGGCAAGAGCTGTCAAGAGCTACTGGAAGTACAGTTTGCAATGATGGGGTGTGCATAATTTTCCTCTTCCATAACCTAGTTTGGAAGAGCAATGATTAACTGGGAAAAGAAAGCTAATACTGAAGATCTGAAAGAACTCCCACTTAAGATCATGCATGTAACAAGAACAGTTGGGAGTTTTAAATGTGATGGCATTGCAAAATACGTAACAGAGCTGAGGTAAAAGCTAGCATAATAAAGCAGTGTGTTCTTCTCGTGTTTTCTGTCTTCTCCAATAGAAACCCCCTCAATTTTTACTTGCTCTGCTCTTCTAGGAGCAAAATGTACTAATATGCCAGTGGTCTAGCAAACTCAATACCCCTAATGTATTTCTTCTACTAGACAGGCAAAACAAAACACCAATTTCAGCACAGAGATAGGCATTTTATTTTATTCAAGTTACCATCTTTAGTGAGTCAAGCCATACTGCACAGTTTCAACTTCTGAACAAGCTTAATTAAAACTGACTTTAAAGCTTTCTGGTTTTCAGGGGGAAGGTGTTTTAATAATTTTTGAATGAAGCTTTATTATTAAAATGGCAACAGGAATATTTAGCCATCCTGCTGAGACACAGAAGGCTACAAATAACCTTGTGAATAAAATTTGTGTGCCAGACCCCAGTCTCTCAAAATACTTACTGTATTCCACGTTAGCAGCACTGATATAGAACAGAGCTTAACAATCTGCAGCCAACAGCTTGAGTCAACTGGTGTACACATCTGTTTATTAGCCAGCAGGTATCAACTCATGGGTCACTACGGCCTAGTGGTTAAGATTGCCAAGACAATGTTAGGTAGCCACCTGCACATCTGCAGAGGATTTGAGATGGCTGTCTATGTGCTTCTAGCATGGATAGCAGCTGGTACATAACAAGCACTTCCACAAGGAAGTAACTTGCTACGTGCAAAAAAAAAAAAAAAAAAAAAGGTCACTGGAGGTACAGTAATGCACACTAGATGAACACTGGCATTGACATTAGCCCTGCTCTCCAATGAGGTACAAAGTGCACACATGCAGTAACTGTCCTTGTCTCAACCCAATAAATGAAGACATTGTAAGCTGCGTAAAAAAAGCAAACCTGTTCTAAGCAGTGATAGGCTAGAGATGCAACAGGACAGCACCATATCACAAACAGACTAGTTGGCCCCAAGAGCCCAAAAAAAGGCCAGCTTGCATTCTGCTTAACAAGCTTTGTAGAACAAGCTTCCTCTCAGGAGTCTGAGGGTAAGGGTATAAAAAAAAAAAATGGATTATTTACACACTCTTCCACCCACTTGTCAGAGATGATTTTCCTGTGCAGTATGTATGTCTGACAGAAGTGCTCTACCAAGAAATAAACAGAAATCAGCTCAAAGTACAGTTTCCCTGACAACACCAATGTGACTATAAGGCCATTCTTGCTTTGCTCTCTAGCTCCTCCTCTCTGCTGCCTGATCTTCATCTGTGGTGAAAGTACTCAGGTCACCCCAGCTCTCCAGGTACGGCAATCCAGGGTGCTGTCTGAAAGGTAACACACGGACACTCAATGACACGGCATGTCAGGTATTGCTTAATAGGAATCTAAATGTTGTTTCCTGTAGAAGCCATTGGACTGTAATAACCTTCAGGCCAGTGTGATAAATCAAATTCTCATGAAGAATTTTTTTTTCCACCCGTTTCTCAAATTCGTTGAGGCTTTTATTGCCTGTAGGCTGCAATGGGAAATCTCACTCTATCTGCAGAGCCTAAATTGCAATCTTTGATGTATTTTGCATAAGAACTCAAACCAAAACCAGTTGTAACAGTAAATCACGTGTACCACGCGTGAATCAACTCATCTATCCAAATGGTCTGTAAGCTACAAAACATTCATTTGATGAAGTCTGTTAATGTCTGAAACTTCTGAATATTTATTCCATTAATGTAAGCACATATTTCCTACTTTCTGCCTTTTTTCCCCCTTTAGTACGAGGTCTTATTTTTATCCTGGGAGCCAATAACAAAAAGGTGCTTCTAGTGGGGTTACATAAAAATTTCCTTGTCAGCCTCCATTCCTTCCAATTTATAATAGTAAATGCTTTATAACATCTCTTCCTTCTCCCCTGCCATGCTCAGTAAAATACTGTCATGTTATTTAGAGTTCATGATTCTACCACAGAAGACCATCTCCTTCAGCTTTTAAATACACACATACCCAGTCCTCTGAGAACCTTGCTGGCTGTGTGATTGATGGAGCAAGACACATTCATAGCTGCACTGCCTCTCACACACTCCCTAATAAAACTAAAGTACCAAAGGAAGCTAACTGGGTTCAAAAACTTTGACACACAAAGTGGAGTGGCAAATGTAAACCTATACTCCCAAACCAACACCAGAGGGTTTCCACATCACCCAATAACTGCAAGTAATAAAACTACCTGCTCAAGGAAGGTGGCACTGGTGATAGCTTCTGCCACATGTTTCTCATCTGATTTTAAAACAGACTTTATGTTTTCCACCAATTCGTGTACGTCAGGGTTCATGCTGCAGGAGGACTGCTCCAGGATCCACAACACAGGCCGTTCAGTGTCTGCATAAGACTTGCCGTCTATCAAAGATTGGGGTCTTCCTCTCAAAGCTCTTATTTTCAAACTCTTCCACAAGGTAATGCTGCAGAGTTGTGGTTTTACTTCAGTCTGCATTGAATCTTCACAGCTGAGCACCAGCCCTGAAGACAAAGGTGAAATAAAACAAACAATCCACTTGGTTCACAGTACTGTTGTTCAAGAAGCATCTCCTGAGATGGCAATCCTGATTCAGTGATGATGCAGCACACAGTTTAACCACATAAAACTTAACAGTCTGGCATGGTCAGGGCAGCACGCAAGGCTCACTCTGTGTTGGATTTACACTAGAGAAAATGCCTGTAAAATAGAGTCATACACAGCTAAGGTTGAGAGCCTATCACCTGTCAAAGGGTCTGCAGGGACATTTTTGGGAAAGCTATTTGCCATCGGTTCCTCTCTTTTGCTTCTCATCTGAATGGAGCTGAAATGAACCTTGAGTGTTGATTTTAACATACAGTTACACAAGACACTTTATACGTTAAGCAGAGCTTGAAGGCTTTTATGATCTCTCCTAAACTCTTTGTAACTTTCAGTACCAGTCAAGAGGGCTAGTTACAAAATATCTGCAAATAATTGCCTGTCAAGCTGCAAGCTAGTAATACTACAAAGTGGAAATTTAATGGGGAAAAAAAATCCAAACAAACCACTATTCAAAATTACTTTCCAAGGACTGAACAAGGGGCAAGAGGGAATCAATTCCACTGCCTTTGGTCCAAATAAAAATCCACCACCTTTGGTGTAAATAACAACCATCAATTTTTGTCCCTGTTAAAAAAATAAATAAGAGCACCTACAGGTTGTTCAAGAAGCACTTTAATGCTGCCTTTACACCAAACACAATACTGGGAGGAGATGCAAACCTTTCCAGCGAGAAGAGCAGTAACTAACTTGAAGCAACTTCCATTGTTCTGTTGCAGGTGAGCTCCCTTTCTGCAGCACTTGTGTATTTAACTCTCAGGTCCAGTACTGAACAGACCTAACTTCAGTTACACCAAGCCTGAAGCGCCCAAATGCTTCTGACTGATAGAGTCTCGCTACAGCAGAAATGCTTTGCTTTGCTTTCGCAACTACAAATAGGCTCTGTGTCATGTACCTATTGCTTCAGCAGCAGATTCTCTTGGGTGCTGTGGTGGAAGTTGATAGGAGGAAAAGAGAAAACACATGATATAGCAGAGACATAGAAACATTCTACAAACTAATAAGTATAATCCAGATAGGCATGATCACAATATTCAAAATAAATTGTTGTTACTCACATGACCACCCTTCACTTACATTTTGTGAGTGCTAATGTCTATCAGCAGCTAATATGGGGATCCCAATACCCTCTAATAAAAGCTGCAAGACTTTTGACTAGTAGACTTCTTTCAGACTGTCAACAGAATCAAGGACTCTGCAGTCACACTAGCATGCTGTTTTCCCACAGCAGCTGAATTAGATCACTGACACCAAAGTAGCTGCAACAGACTTCATCTCTCCGCTATGGGTTTTTTGTGTTGAGTTTTTAGGGTTTCTGATGCTATGAGGAGCAAGAAAAGGGGTGCAAATTTATAGGCTGATACCAAATACCCAAGCTAATTTTGCTCCCATTGACAACTGCCCTTGCTAGCTTTTAGATGCCAGTGTACAAATACACTGAGAAATCACATGTGCGCCCTCCTCCTCACCTTCCACCATCCGTCCCTCCTCCCTGAACCAGCAATACCTGCTACAGACCCTGTTTCCAGATGTGAATGCCTAAAGAGCAGCAAGACTAAGGCTCTGAGTGGAGAAGATCTGGCAAAGCACAAACTGTTGTAACACAGGTACTCTGTTAGGAGACAGTAGCTGATTTCTGCAGGTATGAGGTTCAAGGTACTAACCTTCCAACAAATGTTCATTTAAGGACTCATTATATAAGCACCGATAGGGAAAATCAAGTCACCTTGAAGCAACCGGCAGTGCAGCACAGGGTCACTTCCAGACTGTCTCTGCAAGAGATTGAAGACTCCCTTGTGCACGACCTCTGCAGGCAGCCGGCTAGCATCTGAAGGCGAAAGGCTCACTCTGCTGGACGATTCAGGAATTTCTTTACCTGAGTAATCAGGAATAGTAAAGATGAAGGAAAAGTAGTCAGAACAAAGCAGATCTCCAGAAGACGCTATTAGAGATTATTACTGATTTTTTGGTGACCCCCGCCCCAAAATCTGTAATTATTGGGCACAAAAGCCTAGAGGTGCATGTATGTGTGCATATACCCATAGTCACCAGTACCACTGGTCTAAAGCCTGCTTGAACATTTGCAGAAACCTGTTCAGCCTTATGCAACTGGAGTAGCAAAAAAAAAAAAAAATACAGCTTTGCCAAGTATAAACATGACCTTAAACTACCTGATCAGAGAGAAGGGAGCTACAGTTTTGTGGAGAGAAAACTAAATATCACAGAAATCCTTCTGCATATAAGCAATTGTACCAAGATACGGTCCCAGAGGTCAGTCACTGTTTGCAATTAGGTAGCTCATAAATCAGTCACCAGTGCCTATAAGGGAATTAAAAATCTTGTTCCATGAGGTTCTTTATCAAAATAAAGATATTCCTGAATTCTTGAGATACGTTTCATATTTACAGTTAATCAACATTCCTCCTTTTCCCTAAGGTGAAATTACATGCCGTGGTTCCAACTGCCTTTTAATGAACAGGACAGGATGAAGCTATGTATGTCCCACCAAGCCTGGTCCTGTACCTCCTGGCACATTACAGAAAACAATGTTCTTGCTCATGCAAGAGGAAAAACCAAAATTAACGTAGTCTTTTGCTCAGAACATGGAAAATGTTTGTGCTGCTACTCTAGCTGCTACTCTAACAGAAATGTGCCAGTGACTGTGGCATTTGAGAAAATTAAGGCTTGGATGACATGTACTTGTTGAGCATAGCACCTTATCTCCCATGCAAATACAACCTAGAATCTCTAAAGAGAAGAAACAGTGATACAACCTATAAAAAGCAGATACCAGCCTGGGTATTCAGGAGGTAGGACCCAGCAACAAAGAATGGCAGACCAAGAATCAAGCAGGACTAAAGAATCCATCAGCAACATAAACTTTTTAACACTAGTGGAGTTGGGCTAGCAGTCAGTCGTTAAGGTAAAGTGCTGCTGGTGCTCCAGAGAAGTTGGTTGGTTTTTTTAACTACTAAACCAATGAATGAACCAATTTCACGGTCTTATGATAACTCTTCATAATACCAATGTTTCAGATGTCAGAGACATAACTGGAGTAAGCTGTTTTGTATTGGAAATGCATACACCTGGCATGTGATGATACAGAGCAACTGTTAAGCATTTCCAGCCACCAGTAGAAGGCTGCATGCCTTCCTCCTACTGTCGGCAGGGTAAACGCCATTTTGCTTGACAGGAGTGCTTTTGAAGTCAGCAAAACCATTTTAGCTGGCACAGAGAAGCTTAGAGTCCCTCCTGCAGACAGCAGCCAGGACTCCTCCAGTTCTGCTGGCAGAGTGCACAGCTTTAACTTCCATCCAGAGCAACACTTAGTTGATCAGTTCTGATGATGGCAAGAGAATCATGGCATCATACACAAATACCCTGGCATAACAGACTACCAGCATAAACCAAGAGTTCAGCTTTTATTTATAGACTATTACTCTACACCAGCTGAGAGAGCCCATGGAGTTACTCTGTCACAATTCCAACATTTCCCCTCATTTTGTGTTTCCCTCCTGCTGTGGTTTAACCCCGGTAGGCAGCTCAGCCCCACACAGCTGCTCACTCACTCCCCTGCCGTGGGACCAGGAGAAGGGCAAAAGTGAGAGAACACATGGGCTGAGATAAAGATGTTTGGCAGAGGTGACAGGACACAGACGGGTGTGGAGTAAAAAAAAAACAAAAAAAAACAACAAACCAAACCAAAGACAAAGAAGTGATGCAAAACCAATCGGTCACCACCAGCTGACTGATGCCCAGCCAGTTCCTGAGCAATGGCAACCCCAGAAAACTCCCCCCAAGTCTTTATTGTTGAGCATGACATCATACAGCATGGGACATCCCTCTGGTCAGCTGGGGTCAGCTGTCACAGCTTTGTCCCCTCCCAGGCTACACACTGCAGGTGGGTCATTGTAAAAGATGGATCAAGCCTCAACGCTGTGCAAGCACTGCTTAGCAAGAGCTGATGTGTTATGAACATGGTTTTGGTCACAAATCCAAGACAGCACCATATGGGCTGCTATGAAGAAAATTAACTCCATCCCAGCCAGACCCAGTACACCTCCCAAAATATAAATAAAGGAAGAGATACTGCTCAGCATATTTCCTTTCCTTAAATTCACTGCCCCTAGGAAGCCTTGGCATCTAGAAGAAGCAGTGTTTGTTTTCTTCATTAAGATGCTCACTTTCCTCTTTACCTGAATTTAACAGCCAGGCTGAGATTTCAATGCCTCTTTATAGGCCTCTTTATTAAAGGACAAAAAAAAAGAAAAAGAAAAGATGGACAAACCAGTTAAAAAGATGCAGAGGAGGGTACAATTTATCACATGTGCTCAGGTCTGCTTGCTTGTAAAGGAAGTTTTTAAATACAAACAATACCTCAATCAATGCCTCATCATAGTTTGTTGGTTTTTTTTAAAAAACTTTTCTGACTCTCCCTCACAACAGTTGCATTTTCTGTAGTATTCTTTTCCTGTTTCCCATTCTCACAACCTTAAGCAGTCACCATGTAGCCTCCTGTTTGACACCCTATTTTTGTTTGTGCGCAAAACGCCCAGAGATAGCAACAGCAGTTTTGTAAGTAAGAAGTCCTTGAGAATTAAAGTTTTTGCTACACCTCTTCTGAATTTCTTTCTGGTTAGCGCAACTGATAAGATATCAGAAGCATCCACGTGCTTGTTTTCAGAGGTTTCAGGTAGACCGCTAGAGCATAAGGAACTTTGAAAGATTTGTTATTTGGCTAAAGTATAGTTTTACGTAAACAATGCCACCACTTACTAGGGACAATTTCAACTGATAAACTTCACACCAGAGTTTTCCTATAGCTTGAGAAGTAGGTTGGCAGAAGAAAAGTCACAGTCAAATAAAAGATTTGGGGCTTCCCCTGCAAGTGTCTTTCCTTTCTGTATTCTCATGGTGTGAATACTGTGCAGACAGGCACATAGCCATCTGTTGCACAAAAGACAATCTGCCCCATAATGGCAAGTTCAAACAAAAATTAGAACAGATTTTCACTGGGGCCGTACTGCAAAAGCTGCCTGTGACTTACCTGGGAGCTAATAATGTTTAATAGCAAGTGTACACCACAGCAAAAGATTAGGCCGAAAACAACTTGGAACCATTTCTGTGGTTTTCTAAAACTGCTAAGAAAAGCTTGATGTGGCCTCTACATGTAGTCTAGCTACGTCATGTACCAGTATGCAGGAACTATTTAGTAGCTCTTCCAGTGCAGGCTGAATAATAGAGTAATTCCCAATTTTAGCTCAACACAGTACAGCATTATTTTATCCTTTTCCTATTTTCATCAGCCACAAAATGTCAACAGGCACCATCATGTACACAAAACAAATGGAAGCACTGGAGCTGGGCATCATTTCTTACAATGTATGGACGTAGAGTCAACAACTAACTTGTAGATTACTAAGAAGGAAATATATCTTTCTTTTCGTATCTTAGGAGCAAACTTTTTATGCATTTTAAACATTAATCCCTGTTCCTATGGCCCAAAACAATCATGATTCTGTTTCCCTGGCTTGCAATATGGTGGCTCTCTTTCGAAGAAATAATAATGCTGCTGCTACATTAACTCATCTGGGTTAAGTAAAACTGTTCTAGAACAAGTTTTAAAATGTACTTTTTTACCTTGAGATGCCTGCCTGTCACTCACTTCTCCCAAATCAACATCATCCACGATAATTTTTTGTACCACACCTTCCTGGAAAAAAATAGAAAAGTTGAAAAAAATCACAAGCCACCACCTTTTTTCCAGTACTTCAAGAACTGCAACATCCACCTTAGAAAGTGAACACTTTTGCTTAACTGCACAGTGATTATGTGATATGTGTTTAATTCCACTGCAAAACCAGACTAGTGAATGTCTAAAATTAATGTTCATGACCCAGGTCAGCCAATTTTATCCTCTTGAGTACTTCCTGGGAAAAAGCACCTGTCTTCTGAAAACACCAAAGAAAAAGGGATCAGTGAGCATGGTAAAACCCTGACTTAGTCCCACATGGGAGGAGTACAGGTGCAGAAGGGAAACAGAGAAAGGAGGCAGGACAGGGGTCCTCTAGAATAACCAGCAACAGGTGTGCTTCACAGTGTATTTTGCTCCTTCTCCCATGCCCAGACAGTTTTCCAACTGGGGAAAACTTCAGTTCTAAAGGTAAGCGATTAATTAACATCTTCAGTGAAATTTATAGCAAGCCACATTTGTAACCAAACATACTCTCCTGCTGTTCTGAAATTAAAAGATACCTGACTTATGTTTACGATGCCTCAGTGCAACCTTACCTTCACAGCAGAAAACCAAGTTACACCGTAAATTCCTGTGTGCCATACCTGCTCAGAGCTGTTCTGTTTCCACTGAGCTTTGTAAGCAGGAGGTGGGTCCAGAGGGCAGAGCATTTCAAAGGCTTTGATTTGCCCTCCGTAAATACGGGTCAACGGAATCACATCAGAGTCAGGCATCCTGCAACAAAAAACACTGAGCAACTCCATCGATACAGTTTTCCAGCCGCAGGAAAACATCATCTTCTGCCAAACTCCACTGGCTTTCCTGTGCCAGCTCAGATTTTGGGATCTCAGTGACAGCTAATGAACTCACCAAGAGCTGCAAGAGATCTTCCCAGAAGATGGCAGGAAATTGCTCCTTAGGAGATGCCTCTCCAGTGTGTTCACCAGAGCTTCAAATGTCTTTGGGCAGAACTGTGTCTAGCAACCCATTTCAGTGGGGTTTTTTTCCACAGAGATTCAGTTTTGTTTCAAGAGATTCAAATACAGGTGGTCACTCAAAATGCAAGAGCCTAGCTCTGATTTGAGAACTACTAAATTCTTAATTACATCTGAAATTCAAGATACTTCTGATCTCACATTTTATGTTCAGATACAGCTACACAGAAAAAGGCAAACTCAAACTCAAGGCTATTTTTGTGATGATGCTTGACTAAGAATATTATAGTTGATCTATTCACAAAGGCTTGTATGAGGCCTCATGGTTAACCTTACTTCTCTTTTGCTGCATCATCTTCCTCTTAGGAGGTAGCTCTGAGAGGGAAGAAATTAGAACATTGCCTGGAGAAAACTCTTTTTGGCAAATGCCGACTTTGGTAACTTAAGCTTACGTTACCCCTTTAACACCAGGACAAAACATCGTGGTCGATAGCAATCTTCAGAGAAGTCTGACACAAAGCATCTCAATTTTTCTCTGCTTTTTATTACATTTTAAATTGCTGATTTGATACTGAGCAGGAACCCCAAGCAACACACAGAAGCCCACGTGTTTTGCTCTCTGGACCCATGCCAGGCTTACAGCCATCATTAGTCCATGCGATCTCCCTACAAAGAAAGGTTACACAAGAACAAGTCCTTCCTCCCAGAGTTTAGGGCTTCTCTGGACACTGGCTGTAAAGAACAAAAATAACTGTGAAAATTATTTTCTTGCAAGCTGAGAGGAAACGACAGAGTGAATGGAAACACCTACTGAAGGCTGCTTACAGATGAAAAGAATAAAACTTCCAAAAAGAGAATTGGGGAGCACTTTTTGAAAGACTCCTGTCAACATAATGGAGGTAATGCATGGAAAAACTTGAGGAACAGAAAGAAAAGATCTTGGTAACTGGTCATTGCTTTTCTAATCTTAAAAATGGGGGAAATACAACACGTTAAAATAGTTTTTATTTTCAGCCTATTTAATCTGCCTCTAAAAGCTTCAGAATAATTTTGGAGTACAATAGAGATTGATGCTCCATTGACACTACTTCTTCACGTTTTTCTAGTATGTTCATGCTGAGCTTACATTCAATGTAGGCCACAAAATTTTATACTTCTTGAACCTTACTTTTGTTTTTCAACAAGCCTGATCTCGCCTACCCAGCTCAGTCACACCTTGAAAATTAATGTTGCAACCAAGAGTTACATTGTGTTAAAACTTACTAAAGAACATGCAATTTCCTTAATCTCCTTAAGTCCCTTAATATTAAAGTCGTTTCCAGGATGCGTACATTTGTCAATACGCTTTTTATTTCTTAATTTCCACTCCCTCTTTTTGTGTAACCAAGGCGAATCCTTGTGTTAGTCAAAAAGACAGCAGCTTATTGAAGTCATGATACAGGAAGACAGGCAATAGGAGTCAAAGCTTTGTCAAGGAGCCCCACTGCCAAGTGACTGCTCCAGACTGTGGGGAGGCTCTGTACAGCTGCTGGTAAGCAGGACACTGAAGGGGGAAGGCACATCCTCGGCCACCTCTCGCCAACCTTCTGCAGTCACATCTCAGCTGAACAACAGCATCAGGGCTCTGGCCTCCTGGAAACTTTAGTGTTTCAATAGCAGGAATACACTCAGTGGTTAAGAAACAACAGTCAGCAGCATATGGGTCTGATTTGAGACACATGTTGAATTTGAGAATACATGACTTGGATAAGCAGATTTGCATTTTGGCAAATGCCTCTAGTCCCCAAATGGTAGGGGACCTGGGTAGATTTCTAGACCCCAGGTGACTTTGCTGCCCCACATGGATCACCTCTTCCCTTAAATTCACAGGCCTTCTAACCTCTTGTATTTTATTCTTTAAATGGGAACTCAGCTGTAACTGTTAATGTTGCTGTGCCAATACTGAAAAATAACTTACTTGCTATTTCCTTATTTATGAAATAACAAGATTAGAGGTAGAAGTTGACTAGACATTTTTAATGCTAGTTTGTTTTTTCTACCACTAATTAAGACAAATGAAAAGTTTTCCCATGAACAAATGATCAAACCAATTAATTGGCTTTGTGAGCAGTGCCTCCAGCTCTGCAATCTAAAGGCGGAGGAGAACAGCTATGCGTTCCAAACACATTCTTGGCACATGTTTTGATCCCCACAGTGTTCCCTTTCTCAAAGGGATGTATCTCTTTTGGAGTCGCCACAGGTGCAGTTTGCAGACAGTGGCTCACAACTGTGGATGCAGTTCCCCTCACCCCCCTTTCCCACAAAGGTTTTGGATGCAGGGTCTGTGGGAGCTTGGCACAGAAAGCCAGGTCACAGATGTGGCATGGAGTTTAGGCCAGGCAGGGAGGGGAGGGAAAAGTGCAAGGAGGCCGACTGAGAAAAGGCCAGGTCCCATCTCAGATGCTCCTGCTGGACACCCTGGATCCAGCCTGGGGTGAGTCATATTTCCTCATCTGCCACGAACAGAGATTAAGTCTGTCTGTCACCACCTTCTGCACTGCTGCATAACTACCCTGAGCACCTTGAAACAAGTAGCCTGACTCCAGAAAGATGTCACCATCACTTAAATGTTATTATCAACATGTTTTAACACAGTCACAGGCAAGGTAGCTACCCAATATTAGACCTCAGAAGCCTTTCATATATTGTTCAGTGGCCCCTACCATGCTGAAAATAGACAAAGAAATACTGCTGCTGGGAAGGTGATAACCATCTAGAATGACATGCCAGACAAGGAACAGCAGCCCCATTTTAAAGCAGGGTAACTGTGACACACATATTTCAATAAATACCTAATCTTCCAAACAGATCAGTAGGCACACCATTCTGTTCTCATAACTAGCTGAACCAAGACTCACATAGGATGTTTTTAGTAACGTTTGAATTCAAACAGTTTAGATGACTTTTTCATTCTCAAATCTATTCCTGTGCCATGGTACCATTTCCTAGGTAATCCCAGGATCTGTAATTATCTTTGCAAGGACCACAAAGCCTTTAAAGTCATGCACACTACTGCTGATGAAACAAACTAAACAGTCCTGCACACGGCAAAAAGCAGCAAAAGTAAATTGACACAGTCTGCTTGAGCATCATGATATTATACGTATAAACATTGTGTGTTCACAGCAGAATAATGCAGCCCCACCTGAGTCAAACTAATAAACAAAGCTAACCTACAAGTTACTGTGAAGAGTGTATAACAACCTGCAGAACGAAGAATGCAGAATAACCACCAAAACCCACAAGTTACCATTGAATTGCAAGAAATAGACACACTAGTAAGTTCCAGCACAGCTAAGAGAGCTGATGCTTAATGGACAACCTACATGATTTTTACCCCTATTCTTCTTCAAAACAACACAAAACATGCATCAAATTTAGATTTTAATACTTCACACCACTAATTATACCAAAGGTGGCAGCCCTCTGCAACATAAAATTTTTGGCATGTTTTCTCTTACGAGTATGAGAAATCATAGACCTATGATTTTATCTTCCTCCAAATCCTTCTTCCCTCATCTTTGTAGTAATGAATTCTAAAATATAAGAAAGGGAGGGGGGAAGAGCTTACAGTGACTTGTGACTATCCTCCTTTTCTTTCCAATACATGAACTCATCCTCCCATGTTCACTCTCACTCCTCCTCCACCCCACAGCTGCCACTGCAATAACATCAGGTGCGAACGCTGCCTGATCGCTCGCACCTGACTGCCGCAATTACAGTAGTGATTACCTGACCTGGCAGTACTACCAAAACATACCTTTCAGTCAGCCCTAACTGCCAAAGAGGGAGAAGGTGAATCACTTATGTGGGGGGCCAGGCCGCCATTCAGGGGTCTCTTGCACAAGCCTTGCCAAGAGGTTGCGCCTGGCTTTCTGTCACTGCCCTGATCTGCCCCTGACAGCACTGCAACAGTTGTCAGCCATGTCAGACTGCTGTATTTCTCTTACCCAGAAACAGTTCCTACAGAATCTAAAGGGAAAACCACAAAATTATAAACCCCACCTACACTGTATTTATGCTGCCTCCTAACTCAACAAGTTTTTTCTTCCCTTTTTTTCCCTAAAGTCACCAAACTTTTTCAGTTAATAAAGATAAAACAGTCTTAAAAGAAAAATTAAGGTTATGAAATGTTTCCAAAGACACTAAAAGAAAGGAAGAGAGTTTAGAGGTTTACCTGCAACTCATTTGTGGAGTATAAGAACAAAAAGTTGCAAAATACGAGGGAGGCGGCACAGGTGGGACAAAATCATCAGGATCCAAAATACTGTTTTGGTCTTCAATCTGAGATTCGTCCTAATCAAATGAAACTTCTGTTAAAAATCTTCTGGAAAACTGCTGAACTGTGTAATCTAGTAATACTGTTAGTACCACTGTTTATAGCAGGCAATGCCTTGCAGTCACTTACTACGCAGGATCTTCTTGCTGTAATAATGTGCCAGTAACGCTGGGCAACCACTACCAAGGAAACTGTGGTGCTGAGAGCACTCAGGACACAAAGAGCAATGAGAACTTTCTGGAGAACATGAAGATTATGGAAATTAAAAAATTAAATCAAGGTATTTGTAAATATTATAATAACAACAATAACAACAACAATAATAATTAATAATAAAAAACAAAACCACAGAAAACACAAGGATGACCATGACAATTACTTCTTATAAACTTATGTGATAAAGTCTTTAGGACAGGTAATCTCCAAGATTGCAGTAATTTGCAAAAGCTTGTTTTGCCCTATTGCGTGTCCTGACCGAGAGATACAGAATGGTTTAATACTGCTCAGATGTGATTTATAGTCCACCTATTCATCCAAGAATTATAACCTTCCTCTTAACTTTTCTGTGGCAAATACAGATGTGAGATAATCGCCACCAAATAAATGTTAAAGCACTTCTGCATTTGAAGATGCTGTTTGGAAGTTGTATTTTAGCAGTTTGTAAGCTAAGAAAGGCTGAAAAGATCAAAAGACCAGTGAAGTCATCAAATCATTAGCTAAAATTCACACCATATTTACCCATGCAATCTTGTCTGAATTCAGCTGTAGTTTTGGTTGCACAAACACAGAAAGGACAAGAACTGCATATTGGATCAGCAAAGCACTGGTCAAAATCCAGAGATGAGGGAAAAAGGAAAAAAAATCCTGTTACAAAGCCATAAAGAGCTTCTGACCAGTGTGGAAGATCAGAAAAATACGTAATTTTTCACAGTAAACACAGCAGCCACCTCAGCACTGCACTGTTGCACAGGCGCAGACATTATCAAAGCAGTCATGTTAAGCAGTGTGAGCAGGGTACCTTGAGAAGGTGGAGAGTAGAACTGCACGACTTCACATGGTAGAGCTTCAGCGCAGTCTCTTCTGTGCATTCGGCACCACTAAATTCTTTACAGCAGAAACAAATCTTGTTTTCACCCACATCCACCTTTAAAAACACAAAAACTCCACTTTTTAATTTATTAGCTGTCTCATGCAACACTCTTATCTGCATAATATAGAGCTTATGTGTTAAACTATACCTCTGACCGCAAAGCAGACTGGAAATACAGGCTCATAAAATGAAATTCATAGAGTCTGGTATGTCAATATTAATGTATTATAAAGCTGTATTACACATACTTATTTGAAAGGAAGCATTACTGATAAGCTCAAGACATTTAAATACAACTTAATTGTACTCAAAGCTGCACTGATTACTAAGCAATTTTAGTATCCATGCTCCTTCAAATGGATTTGCTTTCTTTGACTGATGTGTAAGCCACTACATATGAAGTGTACATGTTTTCTTTGATTCAAGAGTACATTTTGCATCTCTTTGGATGGAGTGAAACTCACAACTATAATTCCAGCCCGGTCAAATCAGTAATAGTTACATCACTGTTGGTTGTAATAGTACACCGCTATTGGTTGTAACTTTCAAATTAATGTTGTCATCTTAGTTTTCAAGTGGAAATTCAGTGTTCCTGTACCTAGACATAATTGGATTTTTTAGCTGTCAAACTCTAGAGTCATAGTGTCAAACGTCTTCCACCTACACAAACCACTCTGCAGAATAATTTATGATTTCAGGAATGCATTTCAGCTGTAGCCTATGCTTTCAACCACAGAGGGCTCAGAAATTCGTGAAACATTTAACATCTTGTCTGGAATAACATTAGCAGTTCTCAGTGCTGCTTCAGTACATTGATATTGGCTGAATCTAGATTGCCAAGTGCTTGTAATCTTGGACTCTCACTGCAATACACGTACTGGCATGTTAAGGAACGAACAATAGCTTTCTTGAAGCAATCAAAGATCTTTCCATTAACCCCTGAAGTCATTCAAGCCTTTACACATGATCATCTTTATCACCAAGTGACCCTGTATCCTTCAACTTCAATTATTCCACAGTTTCCAATTCATAAATTGATATTCTTTTACTTCTTATGACACCCATTTGAGAAGAATCTTTTGCATTCTATCCTTTCTTGTACAGACTGCTTCTTCAAGTAGAAGTGTTCTGAAAAGCTAGTATGATTTGATCTACCTTAACTCTTTTCCTCACAGTTCTTGCTGTAAAGTAATAACACAAATAGTCTTCACCAGATGAGGCAAACCAGGAAAAATAATCCCACCCACAGATTATACTGACTGACGTTTTTGTAGGTAGCTCACCAATACACATTTAGGCTTTTTTCAACAGTTTATCTTTATCACATTGCTATAAAAATCATTTATGCTAGTTCTTAAATTACTATGATATTAAAAATCAGTGTATAATGCTGGCAAGAGGGATTTTCTAAAGATATGTTTGGGATTCCCTCCTACAACGACCCATAAAATTGTCTAGAAAGCCTTGTACCAAATCAGCTGTGTCTTCAGACCCTGAAGAGAGAGGCCAGAACTCAACAAAGTCAAACGAAGCCATTTCTGGGCTAAGTATGACCTTCTAATGAAGAGTAAAACCTTTCAAAACATATCCTTCTGGGGTCTCCGGCCTTAGGAGCTGAAGACCTTATAAAGACTCCAACTCAAAAAACCCAAATGTTTAGGAACACAGACAATAAAAATACTGTTGTGGATTGCAGGGAGTCTGTTCACAATTTCAGATGAATCAAGGCCTGAAACAGAGAGTTTTCCTTTTTCCTCCACCACGCTGTAGCTGCATTACTTGCACCTCTATACTAGCACATTTTGTGATCCCAGCATGGCAAGCCTACACAGTGTGCCACGAAGAAATATGTGTAAATCAGTATGTCTGCTCACCAAATTGCATTTGGATGCACGGGACACGAACCGAATGTCTCGAGATGCTACTGCATATCCATTCAGCAGAACACAGACGACAGACAGCAAAAAGAACAGTTTAGTCTGGAATGGAAAAACAAAGTTAATAGCTGTGGGAACAGGATTACGAACCCGACTCAAGGAAGCTATGGCGGTGCAAATCCCACTCCTAAATGGAAGCTAGGAACGACACTCCCCTCCTTTTCAAGGCTCCCTGTGGGTGTGCACTCAGTGCCCAGAGGTGTCTTATCTTAAACCAGTAGATGGTTACTCCAAACACCTTTGTCTTCTCTCTCTCTCTCCTTATCCTGCACTAGTTGTGCAGTAATAAAATACATGCAACTATTGAAAAGTACAGACAGCTAAAGGTTTTTCTGCAGTGCAAAGTATGATTTGCAAGCTGTCCAGCTTCCACTGTATGTCACATCCTTCCACTGAGTTTACCTCTCAACACATTTAGGTCAGTAAGAAACCTGAAGAGGAAACATCTTAAGACAACATTAATTCTACACAGAATTATCAAAACTATTTTGCAGCACAAATAAATGAAAGGTATTTGTCCTGGCACAGTGAGGACAGAGATACTTAAGGGAGTTTGGTGAGATGATTTTATTTCCTCCTGGCTACTAAAACCAGAACACCTCCATTCATAAATCAGACACCTTCAGTTTTATAAACCATCTGAAAAATCAGCAATGGCAGGAGTAACAGAGTAACCAAAAAAAGGTCAAGTAGAAGCAGTGAATAAAATTAAGTCTGACTTTCATGTATGCCCTTACAATCTGCTATCTGTGCTTACATAAGACTTGGGATGTGGATTTTAAACATGTGTAAGAACTTTTCCTGTCCCAATGCATACATGCAAAGTTCTTCTGTACTTCAGGAGAGAGTACTATGAGTAAGACTACTACTTTAGAGACAAATAAAAATAACAGATTCATCTCCTGACATATTTACGTTTTAAGCACTTAATCCTACAAAGCAAGTATCAGGTCTTTAATGTGCAAAATAATCCTTGTTAATAATAATCTGCTCATTCAGATTCCTTTGTATCAAAATGGCCTAAATTAAAAATGCAGGAGATGACAAACACTTGAGGAAGAGAAGGAATTCATGAGGGACATGGGCTCAGTTCTGCTTCAGATAGCTTTACAGCAGATCCAGCAAAAAGGACTTCCTAAACATGCACAAAGACAGAAATTGCTTTCCAAATTAATTAGCTGACATACCATGGTTAGCTATCTAGGAAGCCAGACCAAAAATAAATTGCACAAATTATGACCCTGTTTACTGAGGTTTGGTGAAAAATAACCACCCCTGAATGGACAAGAGCCAAGCAGCATTACTGTACAAGCTCATTTCTTAAATTACAACATCTCATTAGTAGTAGGCTTTACAGAAGCTTGATCATAACATTATCACATAAGGTAGGTTTTAACCTCAAAAAGAACGGTAATCAAAGTAGCTATTTTTACTTCTCTGAAGGGGATTTGGACTATTTCATGTTTGATATACTGAGAACAATCAATATTAAGGGAACAGTATTTTCTCCCAGCTTTATAAATACCATAAAACCACAGATAAGAGGTTTTTAATGTTAGTAAGCACTTTCGAGTGTCATTTGTTTTTCTGTACAAACACAGAATTTAATAATTTTTTTGAAATTAACTCCTTACTCAGCACTCAAATGAATCAGTACCATTTTTTATGTTTTTATCCAGATTATCTCAGTTACCCTTTCGATTAAAAGTACTTTGAGAAAAAGAAAATCAGTAGACAGAGGTATTTCATACAAATAAAGCTTTTCATCTATCTTCAACCCAGGGCACTGTCAACTAGAAATTACCTAGTTTTATATATGAAATAGAAGCTGTTTCAACATAAAACATCTTTATAGTACAAATCTCAAGAAACAATATTAAAGAAAACAAGAAATACCTTTCTCCTCTTTCAATTGATGAAGAAATGGAGGTCCTGAGCAAAGAAGTTACTTGGCCAAAGTAGTAAGTCAACAAAGATTTTAAAAATAAATAAATAAAAGGAGGAAAATTCACTTACAAGTTTTCTCCTTTGGTACAAAAGCTGCAATTGAAACAATCCAGTATACAACTGTATTAAAGGTTATATATAAAATCCAGACTCCTAACATAATGGTCTACAAAATCTTGAATAAAAATCACACAGATTTTTCTAAAGAAACACGTTAAAATCATAGAAGAAAAAGGAAGAAAAGGATGTTATTGCAACTATGCAAAACAGGGATGATAACTTCTACATTTATGTTCTAACAAATTCTACTGTACAAAAATGTAATCTGGATCAGGTTATTGTATGTATAGTCTATTTTTGGCTGCATAACCTAATATTCAGACAATCCGATTTAAGAGGCAGAAGATAAAAATAATTCTTCTACATACTATCTAAAACACTACCATGACCTGAATCATAACATTTGCTACTACATATCTGACAGCGGACAAGAGAATATATTGCACTTCAGTGTCGAGAAAAAAATCATTTTCCTTTCTGCTCTATCACTGGTCAGCATTTTCACAGAACCTTGAGATCATCTAGTCCAATGCCCTGCTCAAGCAGGGTCATCTACAGCAGGCTGCCCAAGATCATGTCCAGTTGGTTTTTAATATCTCTACAGATGGATACTTCGCAACCCCTCTGGGCAGCCTACACCAGTTTTGACCATCCTCACAGTGCAAAAGTTGTCTCGTGTGTTCAGATGGAATTTCCTGGTTTTTCAGTTGTGCCCATAGCCTCTTGTCCTGTCAGCAGGCACTCCTGAGAAAGGTCTCCCTCCCTCTTCTTCATTCCCTCCCATCAGCTATTTATAGAGATGGAGAAGATGTCCCCTGAGCCTTCTCTGCTCCAGGCTGAACACTCCCAACTCTCTCAGCCTTTTCTCAGAGAAGAGATGCTCCAGTCCCTTCAGCATCTTCATGGCCCTTCACTGGACTTGCTCCAGCATGTCCATGTCTCTCTTGTACTGGGGAGCCCAGAACTGGACACAGCACTCACCAGTGCAAGGAGAGGGGAGGGATCACCTCCCTTGACCTGCTGGCAAGTCTGCCTAATGCAGGCCAAGACACCTTTAGCTGTCTTTTCCACAAAAGCACTTCGCTCTCGTGGTTAGCTTGCTGTCCACCAGGATCCCCAGATTCTTCTCTGCAGAGCTGCTTTCCAGCAAGTTTTCTGCAGTGTGTACCAGTGCCTGGGGTCATTTCCCTGCACAGGCAGGACTTCGCATTTTCGCTTGTTGAACTTCATGAGATTTCTCTCAGCCCATTACTCCAGCCTACCCAGCTCCCTCTGAATGGCAGCATTTGGTGTATCAGCCATTCCTCCCAGTTTTGTATCACCTGTGAACTTGCTGAGAATGCACTCTGTCCCATTGTACAGACCATCCATTAAGATATCAAGCAGCATTGGCCCCAGTGGGCACCAGCCCTAGGGCGCAACACTGATGTCTAGCCTCTGGCTAGGCTTTGTGCCACTGATCACAACTCCCTTGGCCCAGTTGTTCAGCCAGTTTTCAGTCCACCTCACTACCCACTTATCTAACATATACTCTGTCAGCTTATTTTATAAGCTACATTGTCCTGCGGATGCAAATTTAAATACCTTCTCCATCACTACTCACCTACAAGTAAAAACAGGTGTTCCACTTTATCCCAATGAAAGAAGATCCCACTCATGGGTAAACGACAAGAAAAGTATTCCTCAACTGAGAATAAATAGGCAAAGGCAAGCATGCTATTTTAAAAGACAAAACAGAGGTAACTAGTCTTAACTGCAGTGATAAAAATGGAAACAACTCATATTATGGCTTTAGTTTGGCTCACAGCCCTCATCTTCGGAGCATTAGATACATACAGACTGTGAACAGCTGCAGAAAGTCTTGAGGAACATTTACGTGAATTAAATTACAGGAAAGCAAAGTGTATTCTAATGTTAGACACACTAGTTGCTAATGTCTTGCATGGATGATCTTTTCCAGGTAAAAAATCATCATGCACTTTGAAGACTCCACAGCAGTATAAACTTGCATGATAAAGCTCTGACCCTATCATTCATTCTGCATGGGCAGACTGCTTGTTGTCCTGCTGCTGCTACCATTGAAGCTAAGACCTAATGCCAGAGAGGAATTGCTTCCAGTTTAACATGCACACACAAGACTGATGCCCAAGCAGGCACTCAAAAGTATAAATTAAGGAAAAACATTTGCTCCACAATCATCAACTCTTATATTTATTTACATCCTACATAAATACTTTATAAACATCCTTCTAGGAAAAGACAAGTCAATGTATTAATTTTCCACATACACAGCAGTAATAGCAATAATTAAGCATTAATTATGGGACATTACTAATTATATATCAGTTGTGAGAGCTAGTTATTGTACCATATGGAGACCAGCAACATAACTGTCGACAAAAAAAAAGCCACACAGACGTAAAACATAAACTAATTAATTTAATAAAAAAAGTCACATACTTCAAACGCAGCACTAAAACACCCCATATGAGTGAGAGAAAAGCTTTTTCAGCATAAAAATAAATTATCAAAAAAATCAGAAGAGACCTGACTTTGACCTGATTACAAAGGCTAAAAGCCTCTTTAAAGGCTTTCCATAGTCTCACTCTTAAAAGCATATTTCTTTTTGTTTGCTTAGACTGACTTTAAAAATTTCGTATGAATACCATTTACTGACTTAATGGTGGAGACCTGCATGTGAGCCAAGATGTTTACATTGAGCTATTTCACTTCTAAAATCCAGACAAACAGGCACTACTACAGTAATTCTCACCAAAGCCGAACAACTTTGCATGTTATAAAGCATATGGATAGGGAGAGATTTTTTTTGCAGGGTTAGGGTCATGATATGCAGCTTCTGTTCACAGTGCTTTATGTTGTTACTAGCAGGGTTAAAATTTAAGAACATCACTTCACTAGCACCAGAACCAAGCATTTTGGTTTAAACATTAAATTTTGGTTAATGCAAATTAGTCAAGGTACACCTAACAGGAAGGTGGTAGCTGGCACTAAAAAAAAAAAAGTCTTTCTTTTAA